TGCGCGAGGTGGTTATAAAAGGCTCCTACCCCCCAGAAACGAGGTATGCTAACTTTTGCGCTATCTGATCTATCTTGCCTTTGAAAAACTCTAACTTGAGCTTCGGAGCCCCTACGTCAGGTTCTCCCCGGAGCTTCTCTTCTCCCTCCGTTTCAGGTCCCTTCCACCCGGTTCTGAGGCAAGATCGTTGACAGCTAAGATCGGTCGGATTGTGCATCATCACTATTAACATACAAACATTAACCAATTGTAATTTGCATTTAAATGTAAAATATACAAGAACTCTTTAATTTATAAATTTATGTAAAATTACACGATTTAAATAACATTTTTACATGTAAATCCAAAATAGACACGAATCCAATATTACAAATTTATATGCAAAATGCATCCAAAAGTCAAGTAAATAGCATTTGCTACAAATTGAGCAATATAAATTTGTTATTTATATATGGGAATTGGAAACCCATAAATCAAGTTAGCTTAATACACTACAAAAAAAAAAGGGTTATAAACTAAGAATCTATAGTGACAAACAAATGACAAAATTCCGTCCGTCATTACAAGTGGCGTCACTATAGCCTAACATTAGGCCTATAGTAAGGGTTACATCTATTATATGTCTTGTTATGGTGACAAACAACATATGACCATCACTATACATATTTACTTGATGTTGATTTATTTGTCATTGAACTAGAACTTTAGAAGTGATAGAAAAATCTTTGAATACACATTGAACCGAACCATAACAAATATTCTAGCATTCAGCATTGACTGAAAGCCTTATTCTATCAACATAAGTGCCATTCCACGAACCACTAACAATGCAATTGTGTGTTACCAAATTTGGCCTCCCTTCTTTTACCATCATACCATAAATATGGATTGCATTATCCATCTTCCCTTCTTTCTTTGTAGTAACCATCAATCAGAGTGCTATATGTGACTAGGTAAGGTAAGGAAGCAATCCAATAACAAACATATTTCCCAGCAACCATCTTGCTCCATCAACGTTTCTGCTTTTGCATAGATAAATTAATAAGAAAGATATGCATAAATGCATCTTCACGAATGTTATTTACAAGAATTTGCTGGTGATATTTAAGACGAATCAATAAGATATTGAATTGGACCAGTCCAAACTTAATGGTCTCAAGTATTTATTGAACCTATTTCATCAATCATGGGTTTATATTGAATTGGATTGAATTGAATCAATATCTGCTCCATTGATAGAAGATAATAATACAGGTCTCAATCTAAATTAAAACCAATTTGAACAGATAGGATGATCCAGATATTGAATTAAATTGGTTCAAAATGGTACAGAGTATTCATTGGATTGGATTTTACCTGGTCCATCTATAATGAACTCATATTGAACCGAATCAGATTGAACCAAGTCTCGTCCAATTGATACCTTTACTTCATTGTATCTATCCTTGTATTGGTTTGTTTTGGCCCATATCAGTTTGATACAAGGAAAACCATATTAATAGACACGGGATCTGCTACCCATAAGTTGTACCCACATCCATACCCACAGAGCACCACCCACCATGTATTGGAAACATTCCCCGTGAGTAGAGATGTGGGAACATCTCATGGGTAGCAGATCCGAGCTCATATCCATACCTTGCACCTTGTTCCAGATTGGAAAGTCAAATCCATGCCACCCAAATAAAAGAACATTGGGGTCACGAAGTAAAACCTGGACGGATAGTTTGGGTCAATCCAGTTTACAGTTTTCAAAACTGGACCGGACAGTTGGGTCAGAAAAACCCGGCCGTTTCACCCCAGTACTATTTTTTGGCCAAAAACTATTGATTTAATTGGTCAGCAAACCTCTTATCCGGGTGGTCAAATTGCCCAATTGAACAAGGATTTTTTGCCGCTTTTTTACTTTTTTTTTTAACTTTTTTTGTCAGAATAGACCATCTATTCGATTTAAACAGTCAGACGGTTCAACTCGGGAACGGACTCAGAACGGATTCCTATCCGGTTCGATTTTAAAAACCTTCATTGCAATTACACATTTCTGTTCAATGATTTGCCGGTCAACCAAGGACAGTCTTAGTGGGAGAGGGCGGGAATTATTGGGTTTGGTCGAATTTGAAAAGTTGGCATACGAAAGAATTTGCAACCCCGATTCTGACTTTGATATGCCACGTGGCTATTTAAACATATTGCAACTTGGTATGCAAAAGTGTTCTCCTAGAAGCTAGCTGTTGATCCTAAAATATACTTGTGTGCTGCGGTTCATAAGAGTATTTGGATTTCTCTTCATTGGTTCCTCACTTCCTCTTTGTCTATGTGAATGTGCAGTGAGTGTAGGAGTGGAAAAGGCACCGACCCAAGAGTGGAGGACTGGAGGAGATGTGTAGACGGGAGTGAGAGACACCACACACATAGAGGTGGCAAGGTCGTAGATACCGAGAAGAGTCTGTTTGTCTGTGCTCTGTGGAAGAGGAGCTTCTAAGCTTAAAACATTTATTTGGAGTTCGGAGCCAAAGCTTGAAAGCAGGATGTGTAGTAATAATAATTCGTATATGAATAAATGCACCTGCAACATATCAACTAACCCACACTCTCCACTACCTGCTAATATTTACTACTGTCCTCTCAATCCTGTGTTATATACTCTCTCCTCTTTCTTCTCTGTGCCTAGCCCCTCACTACTCCATTCCTATCTTCTCTTAGTCCTTTCTCCCTTCCTCTCTCCAGGTTGTTATTGCTAGGTTGTTGAAGCCAAGATGGAGAGGCCTAGAATTCAAAAATCCTTCTTAATGTGGGCTTTGATTGCTGTGTTAGTTTCTCACAACTTGGCCATTCCTGTTCTTGGTAGAAGTTTTGCAGATCAGAAGAATTATTACAGTCCTGTTCTTTGTAGAAGCCATTCCTGTTAGTTTCTCTCTCTCTCTCTCTCTCTCTCTCTCTCTCTTACACACACACACACAGAGGTGCTGCTCAGTGCCCATACTCCTTTTAGTAAGCTTTGTTACAGAACAGAACTGTCGTCTAGTCTTTCTATTGTTTATTGCTTGGTATGATTACATTGTCAAGTTCTTAAATGAGGAGTTGTAGAAGTAATTCTACCATGCATCATTGATTCATTTTTCATTCCATTAAAGCTAAAAGATGGTAGTGATGATGCGCAATTCTTATTCCCATCCTCATGCAGCCTAGCGGTCTTCTCGTCGTGTTTTCACCATTAACGCTAGTTTCTGCACCTGGATGCAGGTTCGCATGGGACCCCTTCTCATGGAACACCGTCTCATGGAGGTGGCAGTTACGGAACACCAACGACACCGTCTCATGGAAGCAGCGGAAGCTGCAGCCCACCCCCTGGTGGAAACTACCAACCCACACCATCTCATGGAAGCAGTGGAAGCTACAACCCACCTTCTGGTGGATACTACCATTCGCCTCCTGAACATTCCACTCCGGTCAACCCACCAACAACTCCCACTCCGATCACCCCCACTCCATTCACTCCCACCCCAACAGTTCCTGATCTCTCACCTCCATCGACACCATCGTTTGATCCAAATACTCCATCGCCCTTCGGTACTTGCAGGTAAATTAACACGAAACTCCCTTGTCGGTTTACTCAAACTAACATATACTGTTTGATATGATTCAAATGATACAACATGCATGGCTTGTTGCAGTTACTGGGGCTCTCATCCGGGGCTGATTTGGGGTCTCTTTGGCTGGTGGGGAACGGTAGCAGGCATATTCGGAGCGGCCTGCACTCCGATGATCTTCTCACCGAGCCTTACTTTGCACCAGGCGCTCACTAACACACGTACCGATGGGTTCGGCGCACTCTACAGAGAAGGAACAGCTTCATTGCTTAACTCCATGGTTAACAGGGGGTTCCCTTTCACAACCCAACAAATCAAGGATCGGTTTGCAGCCTCGGTCGTATCTGAGAAGACAGCAGCAGCTCAAGCCCAGATTTTCAAGCAGGCTAACGAGGGTCGACTTAAGCTCAGAGCTTGATTGTAGCCACCATTAATGTTAGCTCCTACGTACTTTGAAGTTTGAAGTTCCACTTGCTCCTGTTTAGTGCTTTCTCCTTTGATTTTTATTTATTGATGTTGCATGTATTTTCATTTGGTTCTGTGTGTTAATTAGCTCCTAGATGGACTTCTGGTTTGTTGGTTTCGTGTGATTTCTGTTACATTAAGATGGACATGGACACCTCTTAGCTTGTTTATTGCTGTAGTCTAATATTTTCTTCATTTATATATGATTCTCTAAACCAGAACTTTCTCTAGTTTTCTTTTAAACCAAAGATGGTTTAATTTGTTGTTGTAAAGCTCAGTAGAAAGTAGAAACCAAAATCAGACAACAAAGGGACCTCAATTGGTGTAACGAAATTTTCAAAAGAAAGTGGGATAGGTGGGTTAAGATAGATAATCACCAAGTGGTCTCTGCCATCTATTGATTGGACATAGCTCCAGAACCGGCCGGCCAGATCCTAGCCTTTCCACCAATGGTTCGAATCGAGGTGTCCCACTCCTGCGTTGGCACCGTCTGATGGGAATAATATATCTTTGGCCAAGAAAATGCCTTTAAGTGGGAGGGGAGTTGTCTTTGTCTCTCTGTGACAATAAATGCTCACACTAGAGAGCACTAGACTGGGCCCTCCGACAAACACATAAATGGCATAGCTGTATGTATGTGTAACATTAATTTCAGATAAAAGGTTCTGTATACAGAGGATGGGTAGAACCGTAACAAGCCCATTCAGAACTCAGAAGGATGACAGATGTTCAGCAATTGTACATGGAGATCTGTAGTTAACAACACATTCTAACCATCAAGAAGGTTGGTCGGATAAATGATAGAGTGACACTGAAGAAGCTTTCAGATTAGGGTAGCTGGTTGGCTCAGTAAAGGACAGCTTAGAAGAACCTTGATTTTCTTTGATTCACACTAACTCATTGTAGTTTGCTTATTTGGTTTCTAGTTTTGTAACCTGCCCTGCACCTTTTTGTTCTCTATTCTGCAACTGTTGGTTAATTGTTTCATCTCAAGTCAACAAGAATCCAAGGTTAATATTCTTTGGAATGCATGGGTCCCACATGCATCCATGGATCAAGTCAATTAGTAACCGACAGGGCCTGTCTCAACTCACAAGCTTACAGGGTTCCTACATTATGCTTCCACTCGGTCAATCTATCCCCATTAAGACACAAAATAGCAGTGACTAGTGAGACAGTAATAAATTGAGATCTTCTCTGAGATTAATTAATTTAAATTATAAAAGAAAAAATATTCAACATAATAATTAGTTATTGCTTTGAACTCATTTCAACCTTTCATAAGTTGTACTCGACTCATAAGTAATATGTTGAATTAAAAAATATTTGAATTACTAAGAAACTTAATCCTAAAGTGTCTGCCTTGTATTGTTACTAATTATTCCCTGAGCTCTTCTTAATGAAATTTCCTCATAGGCTTAAAAAAAAAAGAAGAAAAAAAAAAGAAAGAAAGAAAGAAGAAAAAAAGAGTTCTGCCTTGTAATTGTTTTGATAAAAGTTATGAAAAGGGTTCATCCCTCAAGTCGAGATGTGGCCAATGGAACGGTTTCCTCATTGCGGTTCAAATCCAATTGAGATATAAAGTGGGTTTCTTCTTTCTTTTCTTTTTTTGAAGAAATATAAGGTGGGCTCAGTCCTGTGATATTGATCCTGGGCGTTTACAATTCAATGAAAATGCTTTTCCATGCCAAAAAAGGAAATTAAAGTGTAGGGAAATGGGTGGGATTTGGAATATTCAAGTAACAACTCGGAAGTCTCACCCATTTTCCAAGAAATAAAGTAACACTTAGATGTGAGGATTGAAAAGAATTCAAAATCACTTTCATTCAACTGTATTTAAATTACAAGTATTGTACAAAATTTGAATTTCAAATACAAGATACAGCTGTACAGAATACAGCCACAGGAATTAACAGCAGATGGAGACTTTCCAGAAATGATTCCATCTTTTTTTCTCAAGTGTTATGTTGCTGAAGTCTCGCATGTAACTGACGTTGATGTAGATTGGTCAATATGCCCCCGCAAACTGAATGGGGCAGAAACAACGTTCACTTTGTCTCTCATGATCAAAAAACAAGTTCGAGACACCCTTTTGGTGAAGATGTCAGCCGTTTGATCAACTGAGGTATGTACTGAACATTCAGGTTCTGGGAAGCAACCTTGTCACGCACAAAATGAAATTCAATCTCAAGATGCTTTGTGCGGGAGTGAAAAATGGGATTTACTATGAGGTAAGTTGTACCGAGGTTGTTACACCAGACAACCGGAGGATGGGGAAGAAAAATGTCCAAGTTCCCTCAATAATGATTGTAACCAAGTAACTTCAGCAACAACTGTGGTAAGGGCTCAGTATTCTGCTTCTGTGGAAGAACGTACAACAGCCTTCTATTTCTTGGAGCACCAAGAAATGAGGTTATCTCCAAGGAAGACAACATACCTAGTGGTTGATTTCCGAGCCTCAGGGGACCCTGCCCAATTGGAGTCAGAGTACGCTTGTAGAAGATAAGTAGACGAGGGCTTGATGATGAACCCATAATCTATGGTGCGTTTCAGGTAGCGGAGGACTCTCTTAATGGCATACCAATCCCTCTTTGTTGGGAGATGCATCTGTTGACAGAGACGATTAACAACAAAGGTGATATCAGGTCGCGTGATGAGAAGATATTGTAATGCTCCTACTATGCTGCGGTATTCTATGGCATCAGGAAGACAATGCTCATATTTAGAGGTGGATGTGCAAAATGGTGTGGAGATGGGCTTCGAGCCATCCATATGAGTGTGGCGAAGTAAGTCGGCAATGTATTTTCTTTGGCATAAATAAAGACTAGCATCATAATCATGGGCCTCCACACTTAAGAAATAATGGATTGGGCCAAGGTCCTTGGTGAGAAGCTGATTTGAGTTGTAAATGATAAGGTCATTGGAGTTGTAAATGAAGAGAGAGGTATCAGTTTTAGAACCCAAAGAGTCCATGGTGAGAAGCTGATTTGAGAGCCACTGAAATCAGGCCCGTGGAGCCTGTTTAAGCCCATAGCGGGATTTGCGAAGTAGACAAGCATGAGTCGGTAGTTGGAGATTTACAAAACCGGGAGGTTGTGTCATGTGCACAGCTTCTTCAAGGTGGCCATGAAGAAAGGCATTGGAGATGTCAAGTTGACGAACGGGCCAGCCATTTGACTTGGCAAGAGATAAAACAACACGGATGATTGTAGGCTTTATCACTGGATTGAAAGTGTCCTTGTAATCAATACCAGTTCTTTGGTAAAATCCTTTGGCTACAAGACGAGCCATGTATCGTTCAATGGAGGACCTCTTCGGCTTTCTCTTGATTTTGTACACCCACTTGCAACCAATCACATTTTGAGAAGGATGTTGTGGAACCAACTCCATTATCCCAATTTTATGAGGGCATTGTATTCCTCGGTCATAGCATGGCGACACTCTTCATGTTTAAAAGCCTAAAAATAGGATGTAGGTTCAAGTAGGTTAGGGGAAGGAAGGGGATGTTTGGTAACTGAGTACAATTTGGGCTTCCAAATTCTAGCCATTGACCGAATGGTGATAGGGTGGACATTAGTGGATGGAGGTGGATTGGGGTGAATAATGTTAGGGGAAGTAGATTGGGCTGATGCTGAATTAGGTAGTGGGTCCAACGGTGTGGTTATAGAAGATGTTGGAGGGGATGAACTATTTGGTGTATTAGTTGAGTTTAGGCTAGTGACAATAGTGGGCCCAAGTAAGGGGGATGATGTGGATGTAGTTACAGGTAGAGGAGAATGAGACGTGGGTCAAAATTGGTTTGGTGTGGGCCTAAGTTGAGTTGGTAACTAAATAGTGGTGTCTGTAATGGGCTGTTGAAGTTGGTGTTGTGCAAGTTCTTTGTAAGGAAACCGCTATTTTCATCAAATATAACATGTTGGGCTGTGTAGAAGCGGGCCTGAGTGGGCTCAAAACAAATGTACCCTTTGTGATGAGGAGAGTACCCCAGAAAAATACAGCAACTGGACCGAAATGCCAATTTGTGTTTGTTGTAAGGTCTGAGCCATGGAAAACATGCACATCGAAGACCTTCAAAAATCTATAATCCGGTTCACACTAAAATAGCGTGACATAGGGAGTTTGCCCTTGTAAGGAAGAAAGATGCATTTTGTTGATGAGATAGGCTAGGTTTTGAAGGCGTGGGCCCCAAACTGAAGAGGCAATTGTGCTTAAGCAAAGAGAGTGAGTCTTGTTTCAACAATAAGACAATGTTTCCTCTCTGAAGCACCATTTTACTCGTGGGTATGAGGGCAAGATACCTGATGTGAAATGCCTTCACTTTGAAGAAATTGAGAAACGGATTGGTATTTACTACCCCAACCTGACTGAAGACATTTGATGTTGCAATCAAAGAAACATTCTACCATATTCTTAAATTGAATGAAAGTAAACAACACATCCGATTTGTGAACCAATGGAAAAATCCAAACATACTTACTGAAATCATCTAAAAATAACACATAATAGCTGTAGCCTTCATAGGACGCTAAGGGAGCAAGCCCCCAGACGTCAGAGAATATCAACTGAAGGAGTTGTGCTACGACTTATTGAAGTTGGTAGAGTAAGATGCTTGAACTTGCCAGGTTGATAGGGCTCACAAGCCATGGGCCTCTCTTTATTATAATAAGTAGGAAGTCAATGTTGACGAAGAACACTACGAACTACTTGTAAGCTAGGATGTCCAAGACAGGAATGCCACATTTCAACAAATGCCCGCTCTCCAACATGTACTGATGGAGCTTTATTGTGCAGAACTTGATCGACTATTAGTTGATACAACCCATCTTTACTCTGGCCGTGGAGAAGAGGTTTCCCCGATATTCGATCCTTGACAACAAAGAAGTCACGGTGAAATTCCATAGAAACATCATTGTCTTTTGTAAGTTGAGATATAGAGAGGACTTTTTTTGTGATATGGGGAATATGGAGTACTTCACTCATATTAAGCACACAACCATTAGATAACAAATGAGAGGAGCCCACACATGCTATTGGCAAACTTGTGCCATCAGCTACGGTGACCTGCTCAGGTCTAGAGTATTCAGAATGTATTGACAAATCGGAGAGATCAGTTGTGAGATGTGTAGAAGCACCAAGTTAGGGTACCAAACATTTTGGTACAACCCGGGAGTATGTGTAGCAAGATTAGACATCACTGCACCTGTAAATGTGTGATTAAATCTTTGTGGGCAATGAAGAGAAACATGACCTGATTGAGAGCAAAATTGACAGAGCAGACGAGGTTGAAAATGTTGATATTAGCCACCACCATTGTTCTGTTGAAAAATTTACCCTTGCCTTAAGATTGTCCTCAGTTCTGATATTGATTGTTGGTACGATTCCCTTGATAGTTGTTGTGTCTTATCATTATTCTTGCTGTTATGGTTACCACCATGATGTTGTTGGTTAGATTTGTTGTACAGAGGAGTGGGTGGTTTTGTGACAGCATTAACAGTAGGAGAGTGCAGGTCCACTGAGGTAGAGGTTAGATCTCCAAGTCTGATTTCTTGGCTGAGAAGAAGTCTGTGAAGATCTTCAAAGGTCACTGGTTCGGCCTTAGTGTTAATGGCTGTCACAAACGGGCTATACTCAGGCCCAAGGCCACTAAGAACAACCAGGAGTAGATCATCACTATTGAGTGGTTGATCAATGGCTGCTAGTGAATCAGTAATGGAGCAGATGCTCTATATGTATTCAGTAATGGTCTCCGTTCCCTTCTTGATGGTGTTGAGTTGATACCATAAGTGCTGAACTCTAGCACGAGAAAGTCTGTTGTAGAATGGACCAGGCTTCATACGATGATGAAGCACTTACTACATGGCATGACCATCTCAGTAAGAGATGCCATTATCCAACTCAGGATCATTTAATCCTGTTGATACCAAACAACATAATCTTTGTTGACTTCCATAATTGAATTGGTTGATGAGGTACGCTCTTGTGTGACATGTTCGGATGGAGCTTTGAACGTGCCATCGGCATATCCCATGAGGGAGTGAGCTCTGAAGATAGGAAGAAACTGAGCCTTCCAAAGACTATAGTTGCTCCCATTAAGTTTTACAGGAAAATAATGAGAGATGTTACTGAGTAGCAAAGTGATTGTTGGGTTAAGCTCTCTTGCATATTGGCTATTTTGAGAGGTACTGGAGGTGGTTGAGTTTTGAGCTATGGAAGATTTTGGATCGGATGCTCTAATACCAACTTAGATTTGAGGATATATATATACTAATACAATATATATATATATATATATATATATATATATATATATATTATTACAAAATGGTGATTCGTGGATACCTTGCCTATCTATATGGCAAGGTATCCACAAACTTAGATTAAAATGCGGTCTGACCCATTCAACCCAGACAGTTGAACCGGTGGCCCATGACCTAAAGGCAAAAACAGTTCAGCCTCTAAGTCTGCTTTTAAAACATTGGTTTTAACTACCTCTAGGACAAGGCTTTGATGACTAAAAAAATCATTTGATGTCAAAATTAAAGGATCCAAACTCCAAATAGTCATTTGCTTATAGACATTTTCAACCTTCCTTGCTTTGCTTTTATTTGCTTTTGTGATATTTGAGGGTGTGCTACCCCCTATCTTATGTAGCACTCTAAAAAAAAAAAAGTAAAGAAAAGATGAAAGTCAGGAGGTATGGGAAGGCCAATTGATGCTAGACAGCCAGTTAGAAGAAGGAATAATGGTAATAGGGATTACAAGATGAAAATTGAGTTTCCAACTTTCAATGGACAATTGCATATTGAAGATTTTCTAGATTTGATTCGTAAGGTGGAGAAATTCTTTGATTTTACCGAAATAGTAGAAAATAAGAAAGTGAAATTGGTCTCTTATAAGCTAAAAGGGGGAGTTGTTACTTGGTGGAATCAAGCTCAATTCCTTCCATGTGATTATGACCAATACTTGTTCCAACAATACCAGCGTTGTGTGCAAAGTGCACATGGGGTTAAGGAGTATGCATCTGAATTTTTCAGGATTTCAGTTCTTAATGAGGTGGCTGAAACCCCATCACAAAAGGCTACTCAGTTTATTGAGGGTTTCAAACCAATCAAAAGAAAGAATTGCAGCCCAAGATGTGTGAGATTTGAATAAGGCTATTTGTTTAGCTATAAAAGCTAAAAGACAAATGTCAAACCTCAAGGTGAATTTTGAGAAGAACTCTCTAGTGGGGGTAAATATGGAGGAGAGGGAGATATTGGAGTGTGTAGTTTCTAATTGGCCCCTAAATTACCTTGGTTTGCCATTGGGAGATAACCCTCAGAAAGATGAGTTTTGGAGTCGGTTGTAGAGAGGTTTGAAAAGAGACTTGCAACTTGGAAGAAGAACTATTTGTCTCTTGGTGGGAGAATCACTTTAATTAGGTCTACTCTAGCTAACCTTCCTGTTTACTTTTTATCAGTCTTTAAGATTCTAACTAAGGTGGCTAGCAGGTTAGAAAAACAAATGAGAGATTTTCTTTGGGAGCCGGGGGAGGAGGAGAAGGACCATAAGGTTAGGTGGGAGATGGTTTGTAGGAGCAAGAGGGAGGGAAGGAGGTTTGGGTATTGGGAATATAAGGAGTAGGAATTTGGCACTACTAGGGAAGTGGCTATGGAGATTTTCTTTGGAGAAGGATAAGCTATGGGTGAAGATAGTGGGCAGCATTCATGGGATAGCAGACAATGGATGGGACTCTGGGATTGTGGCAAGGACTACAAGAGCAGCACCTTGGAAAGCTATTCAAGCTATTTTGCCTTTGTTCTCTCCATGGATCAGGTATGACTTGCACTCAGAAAACCTCATCAATTTTTGGGAACATATCTAGATTGGGGACTCTCCTTTAAAAGATCAATTTCCGAGTTTTTTCACTCTTTCCACTCTTAAAAATGAACCAGTCTCCTCCTTCCTTGTTCCTTCTAACTCAACTTATGGGTTCAGCTGGAACTTGGGCTTTAGAAGGGAAATTAGGGACACAGAATTTGATTATGTCTTATCCTTGCTATCCATTCTTGAAGGGGTCTTTTTAGAGCCTACAAAGACAGATAGTAGATTTTGGTCTCTCACCCCCTCCGGTTCTTTCACATGTGCTTCCTTCTTTAAAGCTCTAGCTCAACCTCCTTCTTTGGGTCTGTCTTTCCCTGTTAAAGAGGTGTTGTGTCTTCCTATACCCCCTAAGGTTGGGAGTTTCTGTTGGAAAGCCTTTCTAGAAAGAATTAATACATGTGATATACTTCAAAGAAAAAGACCCAACAATTGTTTGTGTCCTCATTGGTGTACTCTCTGCAAAGCTGATGGTGAGTCTGAATACCATTTACTAATTTCCTATCAATTTACTAAAAGCATTTGGGAATGGTGTACTTCTTTGTTTGGGTGCAAGTGGGCCCCCCCTATGAATGGGCAGAGTTTATTCAGGTTCATGCCTAGTCGGCCAACAAAAAGGGCCAAGGCTATGTGGAGATGTATGAGGGTCGTAGTATGCTGGACTGTTTGGGAGAGGAACTCTGTTATGGATGCATTCCTCGAGAAGAAGTATCATCGCCGCTGGCAGTAGCAGGAACCTGACCCACCGCCGGCAGCAGCAGTGATTCAATGATTCTCACCCTACCCAGTTCGGCAACAGCAGTCTCATCCAGATTAGATTAGATCATCTTGCTCTTATCTTATTCTATTGCTCTTATCTTATCTTATCTTATTAGTGGATTATCAGATTATGATTAACTTATCTTATCCTTAGCAAGATAGAACTGGAAGTCTCCCTATTCAGCAAGGAGACTCCCTAAGATTAGGACTCTTGTAATCTCCTATTTAAGGAGACACCTTTATTGAATGAAGATATCGAATATTCAGTTAAAGAAGTGAGTTAGGAGAGTTGGTGATCTCTTGAACAAATCACCAAGGCGCCAAGATAGGTTCATCAAGAGTAGGAAGGAACAAGGGAAAATAGGAGGTTTTCCCTGTGGACCGACCCGTGATGAGATCCTATTCTCGGGCCCTCAACAACTTGGTATCAGAGCAAGGCGTCATGGGAGATCTGGAGCAGCTGCCATCCAGGGTCCACGACCTCGAGCACCAACTCGTGGAGACCAGTTCCGAAGTACGTGAGATCAAAGACGAAGTACGGGAGCTGCGGCGTCTAAT